AAGAGCCAGCTTCAGAGGTGTTTGCCCACCAAACTGCACGATGATGCCATCGGGTTTCTCAACGTCAATAATGTTCAGGACGTCTTCAACCGTTAGGGGCTCAAAGTAGAGCCTATCACTCGTATCGTAATCTGTAGATACCGTCTCAGGATTTGAATTCATCATTATGGTCTCGTATTCAGCATCCTGCAACCGAGTTTGAACATTAAGTAACACTGAAAATATGTATGGCACTTGAACGAAGCCAAAACGAGTTGTTCATCGCTTAAGAACGAAGATTAGGAAGAGAAAATACCTGTAAGGCGAAAGATGTGTGGCAGCAACAATAATCAAATTCAATCCCCTGACCAATACGGTTCGGACCTCCGCCCAAAATCAAAACTTTCTTCTGGTTCTTTGGAGCGGATTCACATTCATAATCATATGAAGAGTACATGTAAGGAGTATGGGCCTCGAACTCAGCAGCACAAGTATCGACCCTTTTGTAAGAAGGAACAACTCCTAAAGAAACACGCTTCGTACGAACCTCTTTCTCGGTCGTCTTTGTCGCATAAGCGATTTGCTTATCGCTGAAACCTCGTTTTTTCACTTCGTAAAGGTCTTCTTTCGTGATCTCAGACAAGGGCCAGGACATAAGATACTGTTCCACGTCTATAAGCTCCTTCAGTTGTGTTAGGAACCATTTGTCCACGAGGCTCAACTCATGGATTTCATCGACTTTCATACCCTTCTTCATCGCAGCATATATTGCATGGATCCTGTCTGGATTTGGGACTCTGAGGCTGTATTTTAGTTGTTCCCAGTCCCAATTCAATTCTTTAACTTTTCCACAGCCCCAACCCGAGTACCCACATTCCAGCGATCTCAGAGCTTTCTGGAAAGATTCTTGGAACGTCCGGCCGAGAGCCATGGCTTCCCCGACAGATTTCATCTGAGTAGTTAGCAGAGGCTGAGATCCGGGGAACTTCTCAAATGCAAACCTAGGAATCTGCAAAAATTAAAAAACCCAGATAGTATTAAGCCACGTTCACATATATAACAAAGGTACCATAATTCAAATTATCATTAGCTCTGTCTGAATATCAGGAAATGTTCTCTCATAAAAAATGCACAAGAAGAAGGACAAACCTTTGTCACCACATAATCAATGGAGGGTTCAAAGCTAGCGGGTGTTTTCTTCGTGATATCATTTGGAATCTGATCCAGAGAATACCCGACAGACAACTTGGCTGCCATTTTCGCAATGGGAAACCCTGTAGCCTTAGAGGCGAGAGCTGAAGACCTGGAAACCCTAGGGTTCATTTCAATGATCATAACCTCACCATCAACAGGGTTCACTGCAAACTGCACATTAGACCCACCACACTCCACACCAATCTCTCTAATAATCGCAATGGCGTAATCCCTAAGCCGCTGGTACTCCTTATCGGTTAGGGTTTGTGCAGGCGCCACAGTGATGGAATCACCCGTGTGCACGCCCATTGGATCGATATTCTCAATAGAACATATGATCACAACATTGTCAGCTAAATCTCTCATCACCTCAAGCTCATACTCTTTCCAACCCAGTAAAGATTTCTCCACAAGAATCTGACTTGTCAAACTCGCAGCCAAACCAGCTTTACATATCGACTCGAACTCCTCTCTATTGTACGCAATTCCACCACCTGTGCCTCCTAGAGTAAACGCAGGGCGGATAATCAAAGGGAACTCACCTATTCTCTCTGCAATGTCGAAACATTCATCGAGAGTGTTTCCAATACCCGAAGGAGGTGTCTTGAGCCCGATGCTCTTCATCGCCTGCTTGAACAAATCCCGATCCTCGGCCTTCTTGATTGCGTCAAGCTTAGCTCCGATCAGTTCGACCCCGTATTTATCGAGCACTCCACTCTCGGCGAGTGCGACGGCGAGGTTCAAGGCGGTTTGGCCTCCCATGGTGGGCAACAGAGCGTCCGGACGCTCCTTCTCAATTACCTGCTCGACGAGCTCCGGCGTCATCGGAGCTATGTATGTCCGGTCGGCAGTTTCCGGGTCGGTCATGATTGTTGCCGGGTTCGAGTTGATCAAGATAACGTCGTACCCTTCTTCTCTCAGGGCTTTACAAGCTTGGGTTCCTGAATAATCGAACTCGCATGCTTGTCCGATCACGATCGGACCGGCGCCGAGGATTAGAATCTTCTTCAGATCGGTCCTCTTCCCGACTTTCTCCGCAGAATAAACTTGCCCCGAGTCGCCCAGCGCCGAAACGGGTCGGACGGAGTTGAGGACTTTGTTGATGGACCCCGACCGCCATGGATGCACACACGAGTGAGGACAGGCAGAGCATAGCCTCGATCTCCCCCTGGAATTCTTGCCAGAGCGAAAGAAGAACCGAAAATTGGAGAGTCTTGACGGAGAAAGAGACGAACTCGATCTCGGAGAGGCGAAAAGGGATGAACAATTCGCAGAGAGATCCAAGCAATGGCTGCTCATTTTCCTCTTCTTCCCCTTCCGTTATTTGTCACTCACTGGTTCTCTCGTCTCTGTTATGCAAATCAACAGGGGACGTAGGGTTTCCGTTGTTTCCATTTTGGTGGAAGGACGTGTGCTTTTAGAACCGGATTGGCCGGCCGGACCGTAAACCGGATGGTATGCCGGTTTAGGTTCTTTATGTTTTTTATTTCTTATGTTTCAATTTGTTTTTTGTTTCGTTCAAAATTATTCCTTATTTTGTTATTAACTTCCTCTTGAATGTATCGATTTTGTTTTTAACAAAGAAAATATAACATCAAAACATTAAATGGTAACAACCAAAGGTTTTTTTTTTCTGGCTTATCAATTTTTAATTTTTTAATGAAATTAAAAAGGTGATTGAAGCACGGTCCGACCGGTCTGGCCCGCAAGCTCCGGTTCGATTTTATATACGTTACGTTGGATGAATCGTAACATCATTCATTACCTAGGTCGAGTTTATTATTATTTTTAAAAAGCGAATCTTGATAAGATCAAAGGGGATCTTATGGGCTTCGTGTGCTGTCTGTGTCAAGCTGTAACGTGTGAAAGTGGAGTGGAGGCCGTACGGATGGCGACGTTAGGGTTTGCAGGTTTCTCGTAATGGGCCTATAGGCCTCAGTAATGGGCCTATAGGCCTCAGTAATGGGCCTATATCATATGGGCCTAAGCCTTCAATCAAGTAGGCTTCATTTTATGCCAAGTCCAATCGGCTTTGATACATATGAGTCGTAACCATTGCCCAAGTGCCGGGTCAGTAAATTGTTAAAGATTTGTCATGATAGGGTTATTATTACGTATGTGTGTGAATATATATATAAGCATTTATATATGTATGTATTTTTTTATTTTTCTTAATTTTTTTTCGATTTTTTATGTTTTGATATAAGCATTTATTACGTAGTTTTTTTTAAAACATAAAATATGTATATTAATCTATAAGTTAATATCACATTCGTGTATTTAATATTTAAAATTTTAGAATTTTTTTCCCACGGCACACTGTTTTCTACATAAACTATTTTTGTTCAATCAGATATAGAAAAAAATAAAGCTATGCCTATATATACACACGTACCAAACATTTTTTGTATTAATATAGAAAGTAGAAATCTTTAATTATTTCAAATTTTGGTTTTATAAGCAACTAACGTTATTTGTGCTGTAAAGTATTTTTTTTTACCAGGATAAGCTGCTATACGTAAAACATGGATTTTATTCCAAACAACTATTTTGAACCTTCAATAAATTATTCAAACCCGTTTAGAACTAAAGAATAATTTTACTATATTTAATTAGAAAATAGTGCTACTCTTGGAATTTTCTAACTGTTATTCGAATAAATAATACAATTGTCAAATAGTATTATAACTAAATTCCACGTCCAGTCTTCTTGTGCCAATTTGACCCTTCGTCGGCAGGCAGCCCTATGTTACGCATTTTCAAACTTGAGCATTTTACACAACAAAATGTATATTTTGAATATATATATATACATATATATATACACACACACATATATATATATATACTGTTTTTAAATTCACTGTACGGACTCGATTTTAAATTTTAGTGCCGTTGGTCACGCCCAAATCTTTGAGCAAGATTTGATTACGCGGAAGAGAGATGAGAGAGAAACAATTATAAAAATAGGTCCCTTTATATGGCCGTATGATGGTCCAATTATATTCAAATCAACCCTAATGCGAAATCTTGAATCTTGATCGCTAAAATAACATCGATAATATATATATATATATATATATATATATATTTGTTTTGTTGTGCAAGTATCTACATGGAAAATAGGAAGCGACCATAGCAGAATATACTGAAAACCGCCACTGGCATTTCAAAATCAAATGCTCTTCAGACAGGATCAGTTTCAGATATGGACGGAGCTTATAGTAACCAAAGAGAACGGCCTTTTTTTTTTTTTGGTAATTCCAAAAATAGGGTTTTTTTTTACAATTGAAAAAATATGAAAGGTTTTATAGTGTTATATGGAGTTGCCACTTTAGATCAATTGATTTATCTGTATATCTATGGACTCTTGAGATTAACAAAGTCAAACTAAGGAATAATTGCATTAATAAGAAAATTAGGGAGATAATTAAAGAACGCTAAAAAAACCCTAGAGAAACCAAACACGCCCATTGCAGTATGCTTGTGAAAATACATTTTTTCATATGAAAGAGATGTATATGTCTTCTTAATCATCTTCTAGATCAAGGGATTGTCGAGTAAACCGTGCCAAGATGATGAGCTCAACCCATTCCAGCTTTGTCTTCCGGCGTCCATCTCGGATTATCCGCCGCCGGGAACTTCTCCGGTCAAATGCCATGGAAATCCCAGCAAGATGTCCTTATTAGGGCTCTCGTTGTTTCCGCCTATGGAAGTCTCTTGTGTGTTGTTTTCCTCAAATGTCATCGCCATTGAAGTAGAACTTGTTTCGTTGCTACTATGATGTTCATCATCGGCGCCGGTCACGAACCCATAACCCAATCCGCCTCCGAAATTACAATTCTGTCCCCCGAAGAAGCCCGCGGGGTTACCGAAAACATCACAGCGTCGGTCCGCGGAGTTTCCAAAGATAGAAACCTCGCTCGGTCCGAACGAGGACTGCTTTTGTTGAAGCCTGGAGAAGACAACGTTTAGATCAGTGGCGTCGTCGTAGCAAAGTGATGGCAAGCCCGTAGTTAAGGGGTTGGTAAGGGGATCGTCACGGAAACTAGGCAAAGGCCTGATCACGTTCTTGGAGGAAGCTGGCGGCGGCAGCGGCGGGGATCGTCTGGTTTTCCGGCAGCCGCCGCCGACAGGGACGTTCCTTAGGGTTCCGCCTTTGGTCCAATATCTCCGGCAAGACTTGCAGAAGTAACGAGGCTGAGAGAGACTGTAGTTGTTGTAGTAACAGAACTTTGTGTTCGTGGATTCACACCTCGGGCATTTTAGGGCTTGCTCGGGTTGTGCCCTTTGTTTCTTCTGATGATCCTTCTCATTTATTTTGTTGTACATTGTTTCTTGTGTCTGGTTATACATTTCCTGCAAATACGTGTTAATGTATTAACATTAGATCTATATATATATATATAGTGGCATATGTAACAGATAAAATTTAGCACATCTTCTATATATACATATATATATGGACAGTGGTGGATTAGAGATATAAGAAGCTATCCGACCGACAAATTTAAAACTATATACGGCACACTATTTGAGAATAACGATCCATGGGGTTATGTATAACAAGTCTATGGTTTGATAATATGAATATATATATATATATATATATATTCATATATAGGAACTGGAAGAACAAAGGTAAGATTAGTGAATTAGCCTCGAGAAAGAAATGGAAGAGCACACACGAGATATACAATTTATTTGAATCCAAACATGCCATGTTCATATTTTTAATGAAGCAGATTGGATTTTGTAACTAAAAACTATATGTTCTAACTAATATAAGAAATCAAAACAACATATCAACCTCTTCGAAAGTATGCATAAATATCAATCTTGACTTTGAACTAAAACCCAGAACGAAACCTAAAACACAGAGACAGAAACGCATAACACAACGAAGTGCGACAAAAGAGATGAATCTTGGATTTCAAAAGAGAAATACCACTTGAAAAATGAATATATATATATATATACACACACACACACACAGAAGACGAGTTAGTTACCTGCGTTGCAACACGAGAAGGATCCATCCATACACCAAATCAAAGACAGTCACGATTTTCCTGGTTCTCAAAGTAACGAAAAACAACAAACGACGATTACTGATTTATTTATTTATGCCCAAACTGCGAAAAACATATGCGGGTGAGATAAAGGAGACGAAGAAGAACAAAAGAACACGAGAGAGAGAGAGAGAGAGAGGTGTGGTTTGAACAAAAGTGATGAGAGAATTGAGGCCATCGTTCTTAATATATATACAGCAAAAGGATATAAAGTGTGATCAGTCCGTTTATTTAAAATTATTATTTTATTTTAGTTGGTTATTTTTTTGTCCGTTCATTTAAATCCACATGAATTGTTTCTGTAATATACATAACTTATAAAGTGTTCATCGTTCTTTACAAATTTATAAAATCTGCTGATGTATTGTTTTTCAAGAATGGTCCCTTTGGAAACTAAGAGCTTTTACAATGTGCCGGGGAACAGAATATGAAAAACCCGTTGAATATGTATTTCATGTCAATTGAAAATTTTATTTTATTTATAAATAAATAGGTTATCATATCTTTCCATTTCTGTAAAACCTAAAACACGATATCATATATTTCTCTGCGACTGTTGATTTTTTTTTAAAAAAGCTATCAATAATTGAAAAAATATATATATATAATTTATATTAGCACTTTATTTAATGGCTAAAATTTTAGTTAAACGAGTTTGATATTTGAACGGCACTTAATAATTCTAGGGTTTTCGAGGGTACATAACAAATATAGATTTAGGGCATGCACATACAATACATCATCTTAGAAACTTGTATTAAGATATTGCAAAGTTGAGATGGGCTAAACTCATTCAGCTGTTAGTTCATATTGCATATTGCTTGGTGTTAAACACACACACACACACATATATATATATTATATAATATAATCTTTCAATTAATATTCCCATTATTTTTAAATTGTATCAAATCTAATTGAAATATAATATGTATATATGCGGTTTGGCC